ACATGGCCAGCATGGCCTTGCAATAGGAGTAGTTGGTAGAATCTTTACTACATCTTAACTTGCTATATGAAGTAAAGAGAGGCAGGCTGCACTCTTTAGTTCAGCATCACTAGGTTTTTTTGTGCTCTCTATTCTCTCTTCTTCTATGTGAGTTGAGGGAAGGCATGGGAGCTGGCAAACAATTGGCATCAAAGCCTGAGGTTGGGAGATTGATAGAGATGTTAGGCTTAGGCGGCCTTTCTCTCTCCCTGGATCAGTGTGGATGCCAACCATCCCTAACTCCTTGTCACTAGAGTGTCATCCGCTCGTGGTGCAGAAGATGGTGAGGTTGGAGGCACGGCCTACCTAGTTCTCACCTGTACCAACTACAACAACTGGGTGGTGTTAATGAAGCTCATGCACTAGGCTCAGGAACTGTGTCATGCGGTGGATACCCACACCACAGATTAGGTGGAGGTATATATGGCCAACGGCCTGGCCAGGCACGGGCCCGTACTAGGCATGGCTAGATAGGGCATGGCACGGAAGGGCCCATCAAGCCACCGGGTCATGCCGCACCAGTCCATCATGCCTAGCCGACGGCCCAGGCATGGCCTGTCGGGCCAATTTCCGTGCCGGGCCGGCCCGATGAGCTGACCTTTTTAGCAGGTCGGGCGGCCCGAGGCCCACCAAATGCGACAGAGAGGAGGGGGGCGAGGAGTGGAGGTGGCGGCATGGCCGCCGGCGAGCTTCCCCTAGGTCGCTTGATGCCGGATCCGGCCAAGTAGCTGGCGGAGGAGGCAAGTCCGCCAAATAGCGGCGGATCGAGGCGAGAAGGCCGAATCGAGGCCGCTCGCTCAAAGCCATGGCAGGGACGCGGAGGAGGTGGCTAGATGCGCGGGGGGGTCGTGGAGGAGGCGGCCGTTGCCGTGCTCGACGCCGGCGCTATGGTCGAGGGACGAGGAGGAGCCGAGGAGGAGCGGGGTTCACGCCGCGGAGGGGATGGAGGCCGCTCTGCTCGAAGTCGTGCGAGGGGCACGGAGGAGGCGGGCGAGCTAGGCGCTGGGGGGCCGTGGGCGGCGACACGCCGTCGCATGGTGGAGGTGGAGCTCTAGGCGGCGGCATGGGGATGGGGAGGCGGAGTGGAGTGGAGGTGGAGGCGGCTGCGTGGCCGGGCATGGAGCACGCGGTGCCGGCGGCCCCCGTCGCGTGGGGGAGGCGGAGTGAGAGGAGGAGTGAGCACTGCGGCGTGGGGAGGCCGGGAGGGGGGATGCGCGGGGGGATGGCCGGATGGGAAGGGTGTTAGGGTTAGGGTTCAGGGGGGTGGGGGTGGGCCGGCTACGGGAGCAGGACGGCACTAACGGCCGGGGCTCTTAGCAGGCCGTCACCGGGCCGGCTACTCTGTAGCTGGCCGTGCCGTGCCGGCCCACGTGCCTAGGGTAAGGCCCAGGCACGGACCTGCTGCTCTGGGCCGGGCCAGCTAGCCTCCGTGCCGGGCCGTGCTTAGGCCGGGCCAAAAAAACGGGCCTTGGGCCGGGCCGACGAGCTCGGACTGCATGGCCAACTATGGGTGGAGGACCAGATGGCGAGCCTATCATGGCATCCAACAATCGGTCCCAACGGAGTATGTCTTGGTGCTTGGGAGCAAGGCCATTGCAAAGCTGGCTTGGGACAGCCTCAAGTCAATGTGCATTGGCTCTGACCGTGTGAGGAAGGCAAGGGCGTAGCAGCGACAGGAGCACAAGTCTATCGCTTTCCTTGATGGCAAGGTAGTGTGAGGTCTTCGCACTGCCAACATGGCGCACCATGGCTTGGTCCATGGCCTCCCGATTCTCGAGCATACCAGCAAGCTCTGCAATAGCCAACAACTGCCTCACCAGAAGCAGAGGAGACTCTCTTCCTGAAGAAGGCAAGCTACCATGTCGACGAACTGCTCGAGCTGGTGCATGGGGACCTATGTGGGACAATCATGCCGACCATGCACAGAGGCAGGCGCTACTTCCTCCCCATGGACGGCAGCAGCCGATACATGTGGATGACACTATTGTCGAGCAAGGACAAGGCGGCAATGGCGATCGAGCACTTTATGGCCCAGTGGAGGCGGAGATGAGGAAGAGGTTGCGTGTGTTGCAAACTGATCATGGTGGTGAATTTACCTCAATCGAGTTTGCATAGTACCGTCCGGAGAAAGCTAAAAAAAGTCCAGTTGGCTCGTTATCCACCCCTATTCCATCGGCTTGTGCAAGCAACCAAATCTAGCATGCTAGGTAATGCAGCATTGGGCCTTCTTTGAGCAATGTGCAAACTTGCAGAAAGGCCTGTGTGAGCAACCAAACAAGGGTAAGTTACGCTGCACAAGTCTAAATATAGACTAATGCAGCCCAGGGTAAGGGTAAGCAATCGTAGGAGCAGCTCTTGGAGCACTGATGGCATACATCAGATGCCAAAACTTCTCTTTTGGTTAACATTAATTGTTTCAACAAACGCATCAATAGAACTTTTCTCAAACTACAACTCATTGATCCTATGCATGGATTTACAGACAAAACAATTGATGACTTCGTGGGAATTGGAGGTTTCCTAGTGGTAATATCCGTTTGTTGCTTGGTTATCCATGTATGGATCAAAACACAGCAACAGAGAGGTCTGCACTAACAAAACAACAGATCAAAATGTGTGCCATTAATTAGTGCTCTCTTATATGTATAACTTCAATATTATTTTTCAGAACAAGCAATATTAAAGTTCTGACTTAATGTCTTCGCAATACAAAGTGTGATAAACCTATGGAGCATGGAAGGTGGCAACTTGGGATTTTCACAGTACGATTACTCTCATATAAAAGAAGCTACAAATAACTTTTCAGTTGATAATAAACTGGGAGAAGGTGGCTTCGGTCCTGTATACAAGGTATTATGTCCTTACACCACAAATGAAGTCCTGAAGTGAATTAAACATTATGTTGTTCATACAGATATGATGCCTTCTCTATATTATATTGTAGAGATACATTCTGCAATGATGCATAATTTAATTGATATTTTTGTGACTAAATAGGACGCATATACGTTTCCAGGAGAACAAGTTATTGAAAACAGTAACTTGTTTATTTTATTTTGATCAATCGCAGGGCAAATTGAGAAGTGGAATTAAAATAGCAGTCAAGAAACTAGAAGCGTGTTCTTTACAAGGATTATTGGAATTCCAAAATGAAATTCAGCTTATAGCAAAGCTTCAACACAAAAATCTCGTTAAGCTGCTGGGTTGCTGCACTAGAGGAGATCAAGAAAAGTTGCTTATATATGAATACATGGAAAATAAAAGTCTAGATTACTTCATATTTGGCAAGGACCATCTCTTCTACATGTGTAATGTTGCTTACAGTATATCAACGGTTTTGATAAATTGTACATCTTTTGCAGATAACGTGAAGGGCAACACCTAAACTGGTCAAAACGTCTGCACATAATTAATGGGATAGCTCAAGGGCTTCTTTACCTTCACAATTATTCAGCGGTTATGTTTTATTCATAGGGATTTGAAAGCAAGTAACATTCTCTTGGATAGTGAAATGAATCCAAAAATATCAGATTTTGGGATGGCCAGAATATTCTGTTCAAATGAGAAAGAATCAAATACTACCAGAATAGTGGGCACACAGTAAGAACATATGGATCTGTGCACTTTGAGTACATTTAAAATTCATAGAGGTGCTTCTATGAAAAAAGAGCATTGTAGCATGTCATCAACTTAATTTAAAAATCCACTTTTTTTGCATTACATTGACACTATTTAACTTCCATCCTCAGTGGCTACATACCCCCTGAATATGCTTTTCATGGGGTTTGCTCCATCAAATCAGATGTTTTTAGCTACGGGGTATCGACATTGGAAATAGTAAGCTCAAAGAGGACCGCCCAATTCTATGAGTACAATGGAAAGCTATATAATCTCATCTCATATGTGAGTGTCATTAACCTTATATGAACCCAGAACTTTATCTGTGCATGCCCATTTCCTTATAAATGCGTAACCTATCTTACTTGTTTATGTCGTAAAAAGGTTTATGTTCCTTACATATATATATATATATATATATATATGATGCATTTTATAAGGTGGCTAAACGAGGCAGAGAGAGCCGCTCGCCCAATTCTCACCGGTAGGCTTAGAAGTTACAGCCGGGACACCGATGTGGTGGCGGGAGATGGCAGTTGGGCGGGATTGGCGGCAGGAGATGGCGGTTGGGCGGGGTTGGCGGCGGGGGCATTGTGGCGGTGGCGGCTGTGATTAGGGTGGGCGGGTTCGAGGGGCGGGGCGGGTTGCGGGTGGTGAAACGAGGTAGAGAGAAGCCTTCGCCGCTGGTGGTGGTGGAAGAGGCGGAGGAGGGGGGCGAGGGCGCGAGGATGAGGACTTACTGGGAGAAGAAAGCGGGGAGGAACCTCCTCGCGAGCTTGAAGACGGGACCAGTCAGACGTCAACAGTGTTCAAACTACTACAAATTTTCCTACCTTTCGAAAAGGTCTAGAACATTGTTGGACAGAGAACTACGGGTCTCCGTTGAACCGTTGGTCCACCTGATCAAGTTCCTTCGGGACATGACATCCACGAATTTTCCTTCAAGTGCCATGTTTTCTCCTCTTACTAGACTAGTGTAGGTGCAGCGTTCGCACCCTGAAATCCTGAATGCCCCTACTGATAGTGTGATGCTGATACCGCACCCGGCACCACCGCCCCAGCAAGTGCCTGGGATTGACACGGTGAGGCGGTGAGCCCGTGGGTCCCGCACGTCATCCATATCGTTGCCCCCCTGCGGGCCCCAACGAACTCGAATGGTCTTGCCTACCATTCATGGTCTTTCAAAAAAAAAAAAACATTCTCCTTATCAGTTGTGCAGCAGGATAGAGCACATTTCCATAATTCCATGTTCCGAACCTCCCTAACGAGTAACGACTGCGACGCACAGGCACAGCACTACCCTCCTCGATCACTTCTCGCCACGCACCGGCAGCCGCAGCGCCATGGCCACGGCCACGGCCACGTTGGTTCGCGGCGCCTCCCCGCGCCTCGTCACGGGCCACCTCCTTTTCCTCGCCGTCGCTTCCCTCCTCCTCCTCCTCTTCTTCTCGCCGCGGGCCGCCGCGCAACCGTGGCAGGTCTGCGGGAACACCGGCAACTACACGGCCAAGAGCCCCTACCAGTCCAACCTCGAAAGCCTCGCCAAGGCACTCCCCGCGAACGCGTCCCGCTCGGGGAACCTCTTCGCGACGGGCAGTGTCGGCGCCGTCCCGGACGTCGTCTACGCGCTCGCGCTCTGCCGCGGGGACACCAACGCCACGGCCTGCGGCTCCTGCGTCGCCACGGGGTTCCAGGACGCTCAGCAGCTCTGCGCCTACGACAGGGACGCGGCCGTGTTCTACGACGCCTGCTACCTCCGCTTCTCCAACCAGAACTTCATCGCCAGCACCACCAACAACGGCGATCCCATCATCCTCATGAACACGCAGAACGTGAGCTCGCCGGTGCGGGCGTTCGACGCCGCCGTCGCCGTGCTTCTCAACGCCACCGGCGACCACGCGGCGGCGAACGCGTCACGTTTTGGCACGGGGGAAGAGGGTTTCGACGCAAGAAGCGACCCCACCATCTACGGGCTCACGCAGTGCACGCCGGACATGTCGTCCGCCGACTGCCGGAGCTGCCTTGGGAGCATAATCTCGGCGATGCCGCAGTACCTCAGCGGAAGGCAGGGCGGAAGGATTGTAGGGATGCGCTGCAATTTCAGGTACGAGGTGTATTCTTTCTTCTCCGGAGCCCCCTCGCTACGTCTGCCAGCGCTGGCGCCGCCACCGGCGCCATCTCCTGCGCCATTTAACGTGACGCCAACGGCAACCCCACCAGGTGAGGTGTCAGCAACAGATTCTCGTTTTTAGTTTTTGTTCGGTTTTAGCGCTAGATGTCTCAAGAACACGATTACACGAAAAAGAGAAACACATGCGCCCGCGCCAGCGGTGGTGAACGGAACGCCAACAAGACCGACGACCGGAGGAGCACGAGGTGATAATTGGGGGGATTGGATTAAAGGTGCCATCTTTTGCATCCACGCGCATGGTTCACTATCTGCAACAGGGGAATTTAGCAACAAGGCTAATGTTGCTAAGAACCGACAAAGTTGCTTCGATTCCAGTAAAATAAGTAACCGACGAGTGTCAAGATCACTAAACCCTGAAGGGCTGCTTGTTGTTTGTTTTCTTCCGATTAGTTTGTTCAATAATTTACATTAAAATCGAGGAATCAAGTAAGCGAAGAACAAATCCCGTGCACGTGTCTGCTAGTTTTTCTATGTTTGTTGGTCTGATCTTGACATTAAAATGCAGTCCCGTAGCTATCAGTTGCCTCACTAGTCACTGCGAACATGGAACAATGGAAGTTCACACATGAGTACATGACCCGACTCCTGAGTTCTGACCAGTTCAACATCTTGGCTGAATCGGAAGTTCTAGTCAAGAGTCAGGTGTTAGAAGTAAGGGAAAAGTCATAAAAGAAACTCCTTTATCAATTGGTCTGACCGTCGGAGGTTAATTAACATTGGTCATATACACAGTGCATTTTCTAGACTAGTCAGTTCAGGCAAGATTGTATGACTGTTAACCGTAAAGCAAAATCGGAAATATCATTATCTGTCATCTACTCCTAGATGAATTTCAGATTAAGGGAGGAGTATAAGCTAAGCTGGTTCCTAGAGTTCTTTCTTTGACCTGAAACATAAACGTGTACAGACAGGTATCAGTTACTTTAATTTGCTAGTCGTTTTATATGGCAAGTTAAGCTTAGTTGCTCTTGTCTTGCTCAAGACTTATGATAATGCAGCAATACATAAAGGCTGTAGAACTATGAACATAAAATAGTTTTCTCCTTTTGTGTAGCTTATTGATTTTTGAACAAGAAGATTAATATTGTTAATATGCAGGGATGGAGGCATCCCTACCATCTAGGAGGGCTCCCTTCATTCCTCTTCTCTTCCTTCTTTTTGACCCACCCCTGTTAGTACATGTATATGATGTGCCGGATGCATTAACCTTTTTGGATTCCTGTTATATTACTTTAACATTGATCAAATTACTAATTGATGCTTTCCATTTACAGGAACAACAGGAAACAAAACTGGTAGAGTTTTAGCCATTGCACTGCCTATAGTTGCTGCAATACTAGCTACTATAGTACTTTGTTCATGCCTCTGGAGGAGGAAGAGGAAAACACCAGGGAAGTCAACACTTCCAGGTAAGTCCCTTGTGCAGACTTTTTTTTGTCATGTCTAGACATAATCCTCTTATGAAAGTAGGAAATACACTGATGTTTTAGACATCATTATTAATTACACGTTCTCTTATGACAGATACAACTAATCCAGAGGACATACAAAGTATTGATTCTCTCATTATTGATATATCAACTTTGCGAGCTGCAACAGAAAACTTTGATGAAGCCAATAAGCTCGGTGAAGGAGGTTTTGGTTCAGTATATAAGGTACGACTTAAATATTATATAGACCTTTTTTGTTCTATATTTTGCAGTTTTGGTACTCAAATATGTTCATTTGTACAGGGAATCCTCCCTGATGACCAGGAAATAGCAGTGAAAAGGCTCTCACAGACTTCTAGACAAGGGATGGAGGAGCTGAAAAATGAGCTTGTATTGGTTGCTAAGCTGCAACACAAGAATTTAGTGAGGCTTGTTGGGGTTTGCTTGGAGGACCATGAAAAATTGCTTGTCTATGAATACATGCCCAACAAAAGCCTCGACACTATTCTATTCAGTATGGTTACTCACTCAGCATATTTGAGCAACAGTGAAACAACTGGAATTTTACAGCATGCATTTATGAGTTTTTTGTCTACATCTGACAGATCATGAGAGATGTGGTGAGCTGGATTGGGGGAAGAGGTTTAAGATAGTTAATGGGATTGCCCGTGGATTGCAGTATCTTCATGAAGATTCTCAAGTGAAGATAATCCACCGGGATCTTAAAGCAAGCAATGTTCTATTAGACTATGACTTCAATCCTAAGATCTCAGATTTTGGCTTAGCAAGGCTATTTGGAAGTGACCAATCACAAGATGTCACCAATCGCGTCGTCGGAACCTAGTAAGTGTTGTTATCATTCATTGCCCTTGTATGACCTATATATATGTGTACACTAATGTGCAACACAATATTCTTGTCATAGTGGATACATGGCCCCTGAGTACGCCATGCGTGGGCATTACTCTATCAAGTCCGACGTGTTCAGCTTCGGTGTTTTGATCCTAGAAATCGTCACCGGAAGAAGAAATGGTGGCTCCTATAGCTCTGATGAATCTGCTGATCTCCTTAGTTTGGTGAGTGCATAACCAATACAAAACTTTATGCCCCAGTTACAGTTTACAGTTACAGGTTTAGAGCAACAACATTGAAGTAATTCGGTTATCTAATGCAGGTGTGGGAGCACTGGACGACGGGAACATTGATGGAGATCATGGATTCATCCTTGAGCAGCCTTGCTCCGCGAGACCAGATGTTGAAGTGCATCCACATCGGGCTCCTTTGTGTTCAAGACAACCCCGGAGATAGGCCGATGATGTCTACAGTGAATGTCATGCTTAGTAGTAGTACGGTGACCCTCCAAGCTCCATCTAGGCCGGCGTTTTGCATCCCAAAGAGTGGCTTCAACTCAGAGATGAACTCAGAAGTGTACCCAGGAGCTTCACAATCTGCAAGCAGATCACCTATGTCGCTGAATGACGTTTCAATCACTGAGCTTGAGCCCAGATGATGATGATTCTCCTCGAAGAAGTGGCGGACCAATAGGTATTGAGGGCGAAATACGTCCTTATTGAGTGTTGTGTTTTACCTGGGCCGAGCACGTGTGTGATCGGTATACAAAACTATAGTAAACTACCAATATGATTCTCCTATAAACTGTCAATGTAGAGGTGAGTAGAAATAAGAACGTGGATAACAGAATGTATCGGTGGTTCCTGAAAATGTCGTTCCTGTATTGGTTAAAGTTGTCAGCCGTTAAATTTAACGCAAAGTCGTCATTTCAATGGTGCGAAATAAGGATGTGGCTAAAGTTCGTGGAGCAAGGACAGCTCGAGTACTTAAAAGATGACCAACATCAGTGTCAGTGGAGAGTTTCATGACGTTGTTTCTAAGACTGTCACGTCATATAGAATAAAATAAAATATGGATGAAACCCTCAATCTCAATGGAGAGTTTCTGTAACAGAACCGATAAATTATACGAAATTAAGTAAGAAAATCATCCGCCAGAGCAGCCGATTTAGCAAACTTAAGCCCGTATAACCCGGTAGTCCGTGAAATCACGAAGGATTTCAAACCAACTCACATCCCAGCCAAGATCGTAATAAGTTTAGCGGTCACCATCACATATTACATAAAAGTTTGCATCTCAGATACATCAGAGTTTAAACATAGTTATTACAAAACGAGTTCGAATAAAAGTAGCGGAAGCCATTTGTTCAAAACCACACACACTCATACGGAGTTCAAATACAGTGTCAGCTAATGATCATCTCCAATAAAAGCATCAGACGAGACGTAAGGAATGACCATGCCCATGGTCCTAAGCATCACCCATCGCGGGATAAAGACAGTTGATACAGTAGCCGTAATACATCTACCCATCTGCAACAAGTGGGAATAAAACCCTGAGTACGAGAAGGTACTCAGCTAGACTTACCCGACATAACCGAAAATAAGTGACACCAAGGATTATGAAGGGCTTTATAGTAGGGCAGCTGACTCATTTACAAAAAGAAGCATTTTTAGCATTTCAAGAACCTTTCTAAAAGCATTATTGTCAAGTTAATTATTATTAACCTGTCGACTATATTTACACCTATACTAGAGTAAACATGAGATTAAGCAAATAATGATAACCCATGATCATTAATCAACTTCCATAATGTCATATTCATTATAACTGTCCAAGTGTTCCATCAACATTACTATGATGAAGTAACTCAAGTCAAGTGCTCACTATCCAGGAGCGATGGCGATTCGAATCGATTCCTAACCAGCTGGTGATTTATTCCTTACACAAACCTCACTCACCCGCTAAAATGAGGTATCGGTCACCGAGTCAACTATCCAGGAAGCTCGAGTTTGCCAGGAACCACATGTACCCGGGGGCCGACCGACTGCACTTTGGTCTTATCATCTCGCCCCCGTGTCCTACCACACCTGCTCCGGCACAGTGCGCTGCGGGCAATCTACTCGGCCCAAATAATCTCCCAGCTTCGCGGTCGAAAGGTACTTTATTCGGCCAGCTAAATGTAAGGCATGCGTTCAACGTGACTCGAGGCCCAACAACGGTCGGTCCTTAATCGACACAGACGGAAAGCACTACAGTCCAAAACTCTGTAAGTCTCTGTCCGGTCTTAGCTTCATTTAACACTTAGTTATACCATGACTACATAGTCATCCAAGCAGATCTAGGTAACCACCTATAGCTCGCAGGTGACAGGAAATCATCCGACTTCTACCGGTCTAAGCCAGCTAAGCATTGACTCGACTACGGATACCAGGGTAACAAGGATATGGTATAACAAAGGTAGACAAGGTATAATGCAGCAACGTTTGTAAACAACTCCTGAATGTAATGCATCAATTAAAGTAAAGCAGTTAATTAATAATTGCAAACCGGGGAGAAAATGCTCCAAGGCTTGCCTCTCTCGAAGGAGCTCGGGCGGTGATCGGGGCACTCCGGAAGTTCCTCAACGTCCTCCTCGAGCTGCTCCTCGGGCTCCTCGGGTATGACGACTAGGTTCTCAGTTTGCGATCCTGTATGATGCAATGTGCGTAAGTGCTTATGCAATCAGTGCATCGGATGAGATGAATACAATGGATATGCTTGAATGCAAGGTAGTCAACATCATCCAAAAACATATACTACAAGCACATGTCATCTACTGCATTCTCTTCTACTACTAATATGCTAAGTCAACACCTCTCATTAAATGCTTCAAAAATACACCAAAACTTCACTAATTTCTTAATCACACATAAAGCAACACTTGATTAAACCCTAATTAATAATAGGTTTGAATAGCAACATCTATTTTTATTGCTTAGAAAAATCTTAGAAAATTACCATATCACAGTACTACCCTAAGTAGTCTACCATCAGATTTTCATGGTATTTGAATGAGTGGATTAGCCTACACAAAAATAACAAGCTATGGCATGATTATGAACCTGAAAATACTTTGTACTGTGAAGAGTGTCAAACAACAGAGGAAATATTTTTCCTATGTTCTACACAGCAAATAATCACTGTACAAAAATTATCACATGCATGTTTTATACAAATTTTGCTCTCTAGCAAAAAATAATAAAAAAACCAAACCATTAAAGGCACTTGAACTACACCTCATAATTTTTCTATAGTACATGCATGACACATATTTTTCCTAGGAAGTACATTATATAAGAAGATTAACAAACTTGGAATCATATTTTTATGAAGCCTATAGGTTTTTCTACACATTTTTCAAGTTATCAGCAATATCAAGGATTAAATAAAGCTCTACAGAAAAGTATCTCAAAAATGACATGCAATAATTTTATCATGTAGATCTGGTGACAAGGAACCTAACAAAATTTGTTTCAACAAATTTGGAGCCAAAATGAGTACACAAACATTTTCCAAAGCATTTAAGTAGAAATCTGAAAATTCATTTTTGAAATCCTTTTTAAACTCCAGCTGACGAAATTGTTGGGTGCACCCGGTGCTGTGCACCCAGAGGGGCTGCCAGGCGGGACCCATGGTCAACAGACCATGGCGATCACCCGGGGCCTTCGCCACCACTATGCATTTGAGCCTGTGGTCGTGACCCGGGGGTAGGAGGGCTCCACGGCCGGTGCTCACCGGCGGCGAGCCCTTCCGGTGGCGTGGGTGGTGTCAGCGTGCATGCCACGTCGAGCCGCACCGGCTGGGATGGTGGAGGTGGCCTGGCGGCGTGACGAACCACCTAGCCGCGGCAACGCGCTCGCCGGAGAGGAAGGAGGCGGCCGAGCTTGGTCCTTACCTCGACGACGGCGGCCGCAAGCGAGGCAGGGATGCTAGGCGGAGCTTCAGGCAGCGGGAATCGAGGAATGGAGGCGTGGGAGGGGGTATGCCGCCGGCGGGGCGGCGGCGGCGTCGGTGGCGAGCTCGTGGCGCGCGCGGGAGCTGCTGGCGCTGCGTCTGAGAGAGCGGGAGGAGGAATGAAGAGGAGGCAGCGTGGTCGGGCAGAAGAAGGCACGCGCGTGGAGGGCGAGGCAGGCCATGGCTGCCGCGCGGTGGGTGTCGCCGGCGCATGGTCGCCACGCGGCGGTCGCGGCTCGACAGCGGTCGGGACGCTTGACGCTGGAAACAGCATGTGTGTATTGCAGTACAGCAGTTTCTGTGTGGCTGGCTGGGCCAAACGCTGGGGCGCCAAGTGGCTGGCGACAGTCGGGCCGGCTTCGGCCGTGGGCCAAGAAGGGAGGCGACGGCCCGCGAAAGGAGAAAACATTTTTCTCAATTTCTATTTTTAAGAAATTTTCAAATACCAGTTTTCAAATATCATTTTGAGCAAGAAAATGACATCTTTTGAAAATGTCCCAAAAATAAAAATTGCTTAGAATTTAATCCTCTACAACTTTGCTTTTATGACCAAAGTCCAATTCTTGCTAGATTTTGAATTATAAAATAAAAGTCAATTTTAACTCAAAACCATAATTTTGAAGAGTTATTTTTAAAGCAAAATTTGGCAATAACTTGAATACAAAATTTGCTCCAAAAATTGCGCTAAATAATTCTAGGTGATTTACAATCATAGCCAAACATGTTTTACTAACCTAGCGAGCATAATTTGGGCAAACACAACTCTAAACAAGTGTATGCAACATTCATGTTTCACGAGCATGTTTTAAATGTTTCGAAGCAGGGTTTCAGTTATTATTTACATGATTAGGCATGTATGATTAGGATGCTTGATGATGCATAATATGCATGATTTGCAGTGCCTAAATGCTGGTCATAACACCGGGGTGTTACAGTTTCATTCTATAGTTTCATAGATATTTAATTCTATGACTCATAGAGAGTTGTTATTCGTGTCAAAAGTGTTTTATCCCCATAAAACTCATTTCTTCTCTCTCCTTAAAAACCATGCCACATCATAAAAAACACTTATGTGGTAGCTCATTAATTACAAATGAAACTCTGATAAACTCCCACTGAGACTGGCCTTGCCACTAATCAGGTAGGCAGTTGTTTTAAAGTGAAGCAGGTCATTCAGTAAAACAATAAATAGAGGGAGAACTCCAATTTTTAGCCACCCAACTATTGTTAAAGTTTGTTTTTTGTCCACATAACATCAAAAATTTTGATCACCGAACCATCAGTAACGAATAAATTTGGCCATCTACCTGGTTTCAATGGTGTATTTGAATTTTCTAAAAATAGCAAATTTTGGTTTAGTTTCTAAAATTTTATCGACATATTGGTTCTCTATTTGGAGTTATTGGTATTTTAATTTTTCCAATTTTAGTGTTTTAATTCTCGTAGCCATGTTCATTATTTATTTAAATCATCTACAAGTAGCACGAGTGTTGCTGCACATCAGAGCCACATACGGCCACCGCAGGCCCGCAGGGCAGCTTGAACCAGCGGCCTAGGACAGTGGCGTGGTGGCCACCGTGCACACCTGGGCTGGCATTGCGTGGCAGCACAGTTGGGTGACATGGCGCCCGTGTGGGCGTGGATCCAGGGATCCTAAGGCTT